GTTCCTGTTCCTGGCCAGCATGGTGAAGTGGCATATGGGCTATCTTTCCACCTTATCCGATAAGAGTCAAGCGGTCGTCTGATTCCCCGGGAGGCTCCGTTCAACACCAAACAACACGGTCGCGGCAGACGGGCATTGGCACGTAGACAACAAGACTACAAATAATTAGGCTGGTAAAGCATGGTGACAGGCTTTCATAACAAACCTCAGTCAGCAACAATGCCTGGTCCGGATGCGTCTACAGCGTGCCACAGCAGTAGCTGTGCACAGGAAAAGGCGTGGTGCTTGCAGCTTCTCCTTATCCAAGTTATCTGGCGTTAACCTGTTCGATGCAGACCAACCAGACCGCCGTCAGTGTTTCCACCCTGTGAGCCCCCCAAATCCTCCTGCATAAGTTCCGCCAGAAACCGATGCTCCACGTTGGGTGGATTCAAAAGCGAACACAGCTGGCCTTGAGTGCCTGGGTCCAGGCCAGGCCAGGAGCCCTCAAAGCAAAAGAAAGGGCGCGACTTCACTTCGCTCATGCGAGCAGAGTCTGAGCTTCAGCGCGAAACCAGCACCGTCTGCGAAAGCGCCAGCATCAGCTGCTTGAGGCCACACGCCCGACGGAGAGTCAAAACCTTGCACGCGGCGGCAGGTCGCAACCACCAGGCAAATCGAAAAGCCGCATCAGGAACCGGCACGAATGACTGGTATCCATCAGCAAAACTCATAACACACACGACACTCTCAGAAGCGGAGTATTCACCTTTCGCAATACTCCTCCTCATCCTTCTTCTTCTCCTCCTTCGGTCCTCCTGCTGGTACATCCAAAACAAACGCCAGTGGAAGAAAGATCCTGCTACATCCACAACAAAAGCCACTGGAGTCCCTACCACAAACAAGAACTGCTTCATTAGGCTGTGATACTGGTTCCAACATGATCTGGGAATGCGATGTCCATTCGAACTCGAGATTGAAACACATCACGACAGGTAGAATACGCATAGGAGGCCGACCCAATTCGTATGCAGACTCTCACCCGCCCAGCTGACAAAGTCCAATGTAAGCACCAGTACGGACATGGAGGGTGCAACCGTTCAAAGTCCACGGCCCTATCCAAGTCAGAGGAAAGGGACACCCCCAAGCCCGAACAAACCCCAGACCAACTCTGCACAGCTTGACATGTATGTACAGAACAGGTCGACCTGGCACGTCGAAGCTTCGACTAAATCATTCTCTGAGAGAAACCAGTAGAACGCCGTAAGGTTGGTGGTGGTGGTGGTGGTGGTGGTGGTGGTGGTGGTGGTGGTGGTGGTGGTGGTGGTGTTGGGCGGTGGCGGTGGCGGTGGCGGTGGCGGTGGCGGTGGCGGTGGCGGTGGCGGTGGCGGTGGCGGTGGCGGTGGTGGTTGTCGCGGTCGTGGTCGTGGTAATGATGTGGCAAAGGTAGGGGCAAGTTGTAGTGGTAGTGGCAGTATATAGTGGTAGTAGTGGTCGTGGTCGTCGTGGTGGTATTGACTTGTAGTGGTAGCAGCAGTAGCAACATGTTCAGTACCCACATTCCGGAATGTCCGTCTCGAAATCCCAAGACAAAAAAACTGTGCTGTTGCACCTGCATTTTGCCGAACGTGCATTCGTAAATGTCCAATGTTGAACCTACATGTTACTGAATGTGCAATCGCTACTGTCGCCGACATGTGCATTCTGGCGGCATCTCTGGATGTTGATTGGATGGCTAAACGGGTTTCGTCATGAGTCTTAATGTTTCTCCTACTTCTACTCCCACTCCTACTCCACTCCTACTTCTACTTTTACTCTTACTTGAGATGTGGGATACGAAAGCTAGATCAAAGTCGGAACAGCAAAGGTTTCACCATTGACTTGCACGTACATCGTGAATAAAAGGCCAGGTTTTCCGATCTGAACGACCGCATCCGATTATAGACATGAACACTCTCGCGGTATTTTTCCCACCCACCCAGCTGATTATGTCGCGGGGGGTAATGTTACACTGTTGAGCTGAAGTGGAGGTCCAAGGCCCAACGTACATTCCGGATCGAAAAGGCCATAAACATGAGTCAACCGATAAACAAACGGAGCTTACATCGGCGTCGAACCTCCGGCGTCTAGCAGTACACTGAAGACAATGCACTTCTGGCCCGAACAAAGCCATACGATGACCGGGAGGAGTATAAAGTCATCAGCATACGGCAAGAAGTATGTACAACCACTTTGCACCTGCAAGTGCACCACCAACAAGGCTAAAGAATAAGAGTAGGTACAAACAACCAAAACGTCACCAAAGTCTCCACTTGAGGCGAAGGTTTGAGGCCACACTACGCTACCTGAAGACATCATGCACCACTATCGTAACAACCGGAATGCCGACATGCATATAAATTTGGTGCAGAACCATTATTGGAACAATTATTGAGCTCTGTGCTCGCTTTCATTACGAGGGTCGGAGCATTGCATTGAATGATTTTTTCTGTACATTGACTGCCACGGCATCGGCTCAGGAGATAACCCTGTGTGAGATCACAGACATGATCGTGAGGTACTCTGTGTCAGGTTTGTGGGCTCGCCTGGGGAGCGCCTCTGCACGGGAAAGCGTATGGGCCTCTGCGCACATCCCATGTGTAGCATCAGCCAACTCAGCTTAGCATCAGCCATCTCGGCTGCGTAAGCATTCCCTTCTGTCTGGAGCGATTCATCAACACTGGCTAGATCAGGACCAACCCAGCAGAGCATTGAGGGCACCTGATCCTCGGGAAGGTTCGCATGGCCCAAAATTTTGGCTGGATTTGTCGTCCTCACTGCAGGGAGGCAGTAAAGGCTGTAATCCTCGGTTTCCGATTTGCAGTGTGGTCATCGCTGATCCTGCCAGTGGTTGATCTTTGAAACTGGAGCATATGAGATTCCAGCAGTCGGGGTCAAAACATCACCGAATCGCATTGCAGCAGATTTTGGACCAGCTACTGGAAGGGCCTCTTGTTGCAGTTCAAGTTGACCAACATCAATCGGATTCAGTTGCTTCTTTCGGAAGTGCAGGTGCTTCAGGGTGACTCAAGAAAAAATGTTCCGTCATCCACCAGAAGCAACTGCGCTACTGCAAGTGCGAACAAAGCCGATAATCAGCACATTGTCCAGAAAAGCTCGTCCAGTGACAAAGTGTAGCAGGATGAGGCCGGATATCCAGCATGTACTCTCCAGCTTTCTTGGGAAGAGCTCCAGCATCGAGTATGGGCGGGGCAACCATGGCGGCATCGAGGGAGACGGGCGGTAGCAGACGGCCAGACAAACAGCAAGGAGAGGAAAGATCGAGATCAGAGGGAGAAGGATGAGAGAGGGAGAAGCCTACGATGGGTATGATGACATGATTTGGCCTGTGGCCTTGCGGATTTGAACTTTTTCTCGCGTTATGGGGCAGCGGAACATCACGGAGCGATGTTGACAAACATCACCGTCTGCGAAAACTTCCGAAGCGGCGGTAGGGGTCCTGAAGGGCTTGGAGGGGCCCCGCCTTCCCCCTAATCAAGTAACGCAACCCTAGACCTAAAGTTTGCCAAAGTCAATCTTACAGCAGACCGGGGGGGGTGGGGGGCGCCACCCCGCAACCCGTTAATTCATTGCTTTCCATACTAGTTAAAGCCCGAGGTCGCTTGTTGACCTGCCTGAACACTAAAGAGGAGAAGGTTTGCACGCGACAACTCTCGCAAGCCAACGAGCCAGCCTTCGTGACTGCTGTTCCTATTCAAGCAGCAGTAATTGTTGTCGTAGTAGTAGTAGTAGTTGTTGTTGTTGTTGTAGTAGTAGTCGTCGTCGTCGTCGTCGTACTTAATCCGCCGAGGCCACAGGCCCAGGCGTCTTGGGGTTACCTCAAGTACAATGGTTCGACGCACCCGTTTTTTGCCTTCATTTTCCACCCCCCCCGCCCGGATTCCCTTGATTTTGGCTGACTTTTTGGCGTTTGCCTCCTCCACCCCCTCACTTTTTGCTGTTTGGCGTTTTCAGCCCCTCTCAAGAGACTCTCGAAGCCCGCTGTGGTTCCCATGGACCTACAACGGCGTCAACGGCATCATCTTCAGCCGTTGTGCTCCTCATCCTCGCTTCTCTCAGAAGACATCGAAATGTCACCATCGTTGGCACCGGCCCGGCAGAGTCCACAAACATCCCTGACCCCCCACCCCCTCCCCACCCTTGCTCCTCTCCGCTTCTCCCTGTTTTTCTGTCTGCATGTTCTGTTTTTAGCTGTTCTCTGTGTGCTACAAGACTCAGCTCCTGCTCTTTCTTTCCTGCTTGTTTGCCCGCCCACCTTTCCTGTTCGGGACGGCACGGCTGCAGAGGCCTGAAGAATATGAAGAAAAAGAAGCACAGCTTGGGACCAGCTTGGCTCAGGTAACAGCCAGGTAACATTGGAAGAAGCCGTTAGTGCAGTGGGCAGGCGTCTTGGGGGTTACCTCAAGTACCCTCCACCTAATCCTCCTCCCTGCAGTCCAAACGGTTCGAACCACCCGTTTTTTGCTTCCATTTTCCTTCCCCTCAGCAGCTGAGGCGGGCGGCGTAGCGTTAAAATTAAGCTCTCTCACAGCACCAGTGTGAGTTCTGCGAGGGCCGCGGGAAAAAACTCTGCACGCCGTGCCACGGCTGTTCCTGACACCGATGAACCACTAACTATAGAAGTCTGTGATGAACCCGACAGCTGTGCCGAATGCTTGCTCATTCTAGGCAATCGTGGCTATGCGCCCCCACGTGAATCCAAAGACAACTACTTCCCAGGGATTTATTACACGTGCCTGCTAACCCTTGCCAGCCAGGTCACGACAGGAGCAAGGCAAGCAGCACCACATCAAAACCCTGAGGACTAAGGTGGGCAGCGATTTGTGGAGTCATTGGCAAATGGAGGCCCACATGCATCGTGAGCCGGGCAGCCGGGTTCTATGATGACAAGGGGGCATTTACAGGCTCTGTTTCCAACACGCAGCGCATGCACGTCATGCACAGCACATGTTCATCCAGGTTCATGCTGGGAAAGCACTGCACTTCAGCTCCGACATACAGTGGGCGACAGGTGCCTTGGCAGGAAGCTGCTTCAGCTGACGGCCCTGCGACGACAGTGTAGCTGCTACTGGCCACTCTGACATGGTTGTGCTGATGCTGCTGGACGGCTGGAAGCGCACATTTTCGTCCTTAAATGCCCTTAAGAACCGCTCCCATGCTTACAAAGGGGGTCTGCCACTCAATCCAGCCTGCACTGCCGGGCGACTGCCAGGTGGGCCTGTGCACGCACGTGACACGTCCGACTAGCATGTCGTGGCCGCTGCCAAAGACTCGGAACCGTTTGCACTACGCCCAAGTTAGGCATCTCAGTTCCCACCAGCCACTTGCCAGCATTTGCCAGCAATGTTGCAGGGGAACACAAGAGTGACACACATACACTCCATGATACTTGCGCAGCTGGACTTCCGCGTCTTTGAATTCTGCTACACTCGCAAGCACGAGCCTATCTTGATGTCAAGGACATCGCATTGAAGGACGGTGTCCTCTGCCGGAGCCTCGGTCGACCCCAGCGCAACCCTGCCAACCCTCTGTTCAGCGATGAAATGCTTTCCAACAGCTTGCCGAGGTATGCACCAAGTCAATTGCTGTGACATCAAAACGGTCACTGTGGTGGCCTGGAGTTGGCCCTCTACATGTGAGGGCAGGCTGAGCTCGCTTGGTAACAGCGACTCTGTTGCAATGTATCTTTCCTTGAGATCATGGCGGCCGAAGTAATCAGCACCTGAGCGCAAACCCGCATGCTGTAACTAGCTACTAGATCTGTATAAATCTCAGAGCAGCTCAGTTTGCAGAGAACAACGGACAACACGCTTGCGTTTTGTGACACCGGCTTCTAGTCAACTGCCGCTGCACATGCGCGCACACAAACGCTTCCAATCAAGTCGACAGAAAAACAAGTTCTGAGCCCGCAGCAACTGCCCATGTCTAACAGCCGCAAGCGTGCCCCAGCTTTTGGCAACAGCTCCTGACAACGTGTTTTAACAGCACATTGACTCGTAGGCAGTGGCCACAAATTTGGGACAGCATAACATCCTGGATTGTCGACATCCATTCACACTGCAAGATCTCTCGACTTATTAGATCGATCAACCTTGAACAGCCGTGGTCTGCACGTGTCTGCATAAAACACGTTGACTGGCACCTCGGCAAGCTGCTCTCTACGCTGGAGCACCTTTGGCCCCTGAGCTCGAAGCGAGTCAAAGGGCCAAACAGAAACTTGTGTCATTTTCTCGCGCCTGCCGCAAAGCCGCCGACAGAGCCGTCTCCTTGGCCGTGTACGGCAAAAAGCAACATTACGACAGGAGTGGACTTTATAAGCCCGCAGATCAAGCTTTCGGCAAAAGCTTCGAGCAAATAGCAATAACTCTTGCTCTTCAAACACTTCTGAGTACTTGGAGCAGGTCCAACCCAGGTCTATGTCTCTAGACGTACAGATCCGAGCCTCAAACCGTGAAGGATTTCAGGCTTCATCTGCAAAGGCTTTGGTCTGCAAGTCCTCACGCCCTTGCTTTCAACATCTCTTGTTTGCTCTTCTTCTCCAGTGCATTGGGGCACGGCCCCCTTCCTGTTACACCTGTCTGGGGCTTGTTGGGGGAGTGAAAGAAGTTCGGGTAGCAACCTGGCAAACATGTACTGTTGTATCGAAAAAGGAAGACTGTTCCCCGAACGATCAAACATGTGAATTGACTTGTGAGTCCCCCAGGACACAGAAAGACGTAGAACATCCTGGCTCTTGAGACGTAGGGTCTCACGTTTGGTTTGCAGATTCGGCAAGGGTGCACCAACGACGAGCGTCCCGACTTGGCCCCAATCACACCAATGTTGAAGTAGCCTGACAAAAATGAAAGAAAAGCTAATGGCAACGACGGTTTTCGGAGGAATTGTCATGTACATGACACATGGCTTGGTATCGGCTAGCATTCTCAACACCTGAAACACACTGCGCCGATTACCACCAGACTCTTGTATTTCTCCCCGATTCAAGTTGAAATACGCCCTTGTTCCACACCTCGCCGTCATTTGCTCCATGTATGATTCTGGTATGAAAAAATGCAAGCACAAAGTGTGGACTTGATGTAAAAGTTAAATCTATAACTAGGATGTTCTTGGATTCCTTATGATACAGTCACAACATCCTGGGAACTCAAGAAGGAGGGTCTCGCATCTGGTCTGCCATTTCGGGTACGGCGCGCCTCTGGGATTGGTGAGCGCTTGTGTTCGCCGACCGTGCAATAGTCCCAACAGGTCTCTGTGAAATGACAGATGACGCACCACAATCCAGGACCATGCAGCGAGGAATCGTCGTGACATGACACATTTCCGGACATCTGTCAACATTCCCAACCTTCCCATTTCATCAGCCGTGCACGTGGAGATGTGTGCGGGAGGAGGTACAAAACCCACGCCAGAAGGGTATACGTGGCAAGCTACACAGTGCAACCCGATGCATGCCATGTTGCATGGCTACCCGCCCCGCGCAATGACATGACAAGATGGCGAGAGGGTGTAACAGGATGATACGATCGGCTTAGGAAGTCCGCCTGCATGGTTCGACATGTTGTTGTGCTCGAGCAGAACGTTTCGTTTCCCAAGAGAAAGCAAAGGTCCTGCACCCACAACAAAACCAATCCGTCGCACAGGTCTCCCTGCCACGAGCTTCGACACGAGAAAGCTGCAGAAAAACCGGGCGGCAAGGTTTGGGCAGGGCAGCAGGTCATCTTGTGGGCAGAAAAAACAAGTAGAACCACATGTCATTAGACAAACAAGACTACTGTTCCTCGTCATTGCGGCTACGGCTTCTCAATGCTTCGCCCCCGGCTGTGGTTGTAGGCAAAGTTGAGGTAGTGGCCACCAAGCCATGTTTCAGCGTCCCTGCGCCGTGCTTCTTGTCCCCTTTGGACGGGAGCCCCCCGGTCGTTCTCAGGAATACAACGGGAGATGCCTCTCACCTACTGCGTGCTGCTTCTTGCACTGCCGGCAGCTGTTCCACGGACCAGCGTCCCTCGTGCTGCAGCATGTCATCAGGCAGGATGATTGCTGTTCCACTGAGTCCACTGAAAGGAGGGCTTCCTCACGGACCAGGGCGTCATGTCCCCTAGCGGCTTGTCTCTCCGGTGAGTTATTCAAGAGCCCAAATGCGGCCCCTCTCTGCAGAATCTCGTAGAGGAGTTCCCCCGTCTGTGTTGCACAAGACTCCAGCCATTGCAAAAGAGTGGCCAAATGAGGCTCAATATCTGCACCGGTCATTGTTTGCTGAGCGCACTGGTTCTCATACCCCAACCTACTTGCCTCAGCATTACCTGAAACCGAAGTTATATCAGCGAATTACACACCATCGTTTGTCTCCATTGGGGACTTTATGCGGTAAAGTCCCCAATGGAGAAAGAACTTTCAAATCCTCAGTCTTGGAAAGTCCGAAACGAATAACAACAAAACAAAAGGTAGCAGGAATCCAAACACAGTGTTCGCAAAAGCACGCAGCAGCAAAAGTCCAACCTGACCAAACAGCAATAGTTCTCTAAATTAGTGTCCCTTAAAGGGTCCGTTTTATAGGGGTGCCATACTACATCAATATTGGGGACCTAGAAAGGGACCTTAATTCAGAGAACGCCGCGCATGCGGTCTTATGTGGTTGGTACAGTTGATTCACCATGTGGCCCTGTATTGCAGCATACCCATCGTCCGCAGCGGCAATACAAGCATGCAAAACCGTCCGCCGGTGGATGCAAGTAGAAAAGGGTAATCTTCCGGGCCACCGGTCAGCACGCTTTTTAGCCGTTGCTTTTAAGCCGCCCGGCTGAAGAGTCAGAGAACTGAGCCATGACAGCAACTGGTCCTTACATCTAGTCAGATGTTGACGAAATTGAACGAACAGGAAATGCCTCCAAGTACTAAGCATCTGATGGTCCAGCCAAAGTGCAGTCTCGGTCAAGCAAAACTGCAAGCTTCAAGAGTTATAGAAAGGGGCTAAAAACAGAGTTCCTGACCACTGAGCAAGCTTCGGTTTGGAACTGTGGCCATAGAACTAGACTACTTGGCTTAGGGACGAAGAGATGCCAGGTTCGCAACGCGATATGATGCGAGCAGGATAAGACATACACACGAATTGCGAACGCATTGGCCACCTCCTTCACGGCAACATGCAACATCTGTCCAACAGATCACGAAACGAATTGCTAGCACATAGCACTGCAGCTGGTGGGCAAAGAAATGACTCTCTCTGACTCCCCCTAATTTCACCCCGGGTCTCTCTGTGGGACACCAGGCACATCCAGGCACACCTGGGCGCACGGCTCGTGGCCTGTCCCCAGAAGTGCCGTAGATCCAGCGATGCCGCTCCTGGTATTGCGCTTCCCACGGCTACGGCATCCATACATCCACATCAGCATCGCATCTCCTTGGGGTCAAGAAGGAAATAGTATGCGATCGCCTTCAGGGGACTTCGAGAGTTTTAAATGCAATCTTGGCACATGCCCCGCCGCCTCGCCTCTGCGCACCACTCATGGAAAGCAACATTCCACCTCCGCCCGGTCCCTCGTCTTTCTTCTCAGACGAGTATAGACGAGTACCGAGCAAAAGGCCGCTTGCGCATGTTCTCCAGTGCTGCATCGCGGTAGGCCGACGCCAATTCGTCGCTAGGCCTGACACAAGGCCGGAGCCAACAGATTTCACTGCAAAAACTAAGTTCGCACCTACCATCCTCCGAAGAACGCAGGACCTGGTACAGTAGCAGCTCTTGAGAAGTCTCTTGCAGCGAATGCAATCGACTCTTCCCCTCGTGTGACCTCCTCGTGAAGCTGGCCAAACCTTCGGCTCAATCTCCTCAAACGTCGCTTTTCTGCGATGGCCTGTGAGCTCATGGTGGCGGTCTGTGGGAAGGCACATCAATGCACGCACTTGGTCCAACGCAAACTGAGGCAAGTCAAGCCATTGCACAAAAAATAAACAAGTTGGTGGAACTGCTTCTGTTTTCAAACTGATGATTAGTTTTCCCTTACCGGCACTGCTGTCTGGAACAATCGAACCTTTAAGCTTTCACATTCAGTCTGCGATTCGTGGAGTACAACCAGGTGATACGTCATGCCATGAGATGCCATGAGCTGGCATCAACAGACCTTCACGAGGTCAACATCGGAGATGGGCCTATGCAGTCTGTCAAATCCCTGATGTTTTCCAAACTAAATCCGTGTCAATCTGTCAACTTTGCTTCCGTTGGATGAAGACTTCTGCACTGATGCAAGCCGCATCACACTGCCCGCTGCCTTCGTCACAAACCGTCGCAGTCGCACTCCCGTGTTCCCAGAATCCTCAGGCATGACAGCACAGCCGCGTCAAAATGTGACCTGCCTTTGCCATGCGATGCTTTCTACAAACGAACCCATGCCGAAATCATGGTCTGCTGAAGTTGTCTGAAGCGAGGATGCAGGTGGAGAAAGCAAAGCTGAGCAGCGAAATGTCGAATCTGCGGGAACCCTAGGACGGTCCTAGACTGGGAACGAGGGCCTGGCAGACGCCGCTTTGCTCAAGCCCTCCAAGCGCTCGGGGGAATCCAGCAAGAAGCGGCAAAGATTCTGAAGAGCCTGTGGCCAGCACCAGGGATTGACGGCTTCCCGGCCTCTTTCACTGTCGTGTCTGACGCTATACACACGGAGGAAATCATACGGACCTGATGCATTCTTCGTCGCCACGTCCTGTCCGGGCTCTCTCGTTGTCCTGAGTTTCCACAAAGCGCATGCTGCACAATCAACCACGAGTAAAACGGCGTGCAAACACTCTCACCTAAGCTGAGGTAGCGAACGTGGTGACCGAAGGTCAGCCAAGCCATCCATGAGTTCCCTTCGCTGTCGCGGACCTTGCAAGTCAGGACAGTGCTCGAAGATTTTCACTCGTTTTGCACATAACGAACAATTGAGTCATCTGGACATGCGCTGGCTATGGCAAGATCTGACGCCACAGTATAAAGACGTGAGAAGTCTCATTCCCAAGCTGAAAATTCACCATGTTTGGGAGGCTGACGGCTCTGCAGCAACTGACCAACAACGTCGGTCGCCTGTTTGACAGCGGGACACCAAAACATTAGCTAGAACAACTGAAAAACGTCATCGTGCTGGCCTCCTGCACGAATTGCAGGCTCACTTCTTCCGCAGTCTCCTCCGGGATGAGACTTGCATCGGAACAACGCTCTGGCTCCCAATCGATCGGCGAGGCACGCACATTCGACATGTGTGTGGCAGGGATTCCGGCTCCTTCAACCACGGCCTTTCACGCAAGCCCTTCGACAGTCGGTCAGCGATGTAAGCGAAACCCTGCCATGCCAGTCTGCCTTGCACTGCATGCACGTTGAACATCACTTCAGCCGCCTCTGTTGCTCCGGCTGCAATCTTGCCGCCTGGGGCAGCTGTGACCATTCGACTAAGTGCCAAGTTGATGTTTCGTATGCAGGCAAGTGTTTGCTTACTCGCACGACCAGGGGTTTGAACTCATATGGTTCTCAGCCCCATTCAAGCCTGCTTTCTTCTTCGCACCATTGAACGCAGGCACCGCCACCTGGGTCAACAGCTTCAATTGAGAGGAGATGCCCGTTCTCTGCGACAGTCTTAGATGACGACAACGGCAGCCCAACGAGCTGCCTTGGAGGAGCAGCGCCTTCACAGGAGGTTTACCAATTCGTGCGCGCATGTCTGGGGCAAACTTGCCTCTCCCCACCAGGTTGACGATGCCACCTAGGAAGATGCAGCAATGATGCCTTTCATCTCACGATCTTGAAGATCGTCCATTGGCGCCGGACGGTGCTCGTGGAGCAGGACGGAGAGGAGGTTGCAACGGGTTCCATGCCGGCTGCATGTGGTGTCTCAGTTGAGGCTCAGAGTGGATCCGAATAGGCTACGCAACTTGATCCCTCTCTCTAGGGTTGCTTATCGCTGATGCTCGCGAGGCCCTGTTGTTGGACACTCTGCATCAGCGTTCCGCTGTGAGCAACGGCATGCGGTAGAAAAGTTACGGAAAGACTTGCGCGCGTGCATCCGAGTAACACATGCATTCCGAAAGCAAGTCTGTCTTGTGAAGCAATGCATTGCATTCTTTTCAGAACTCTGAGCGGCTCGGCAGCTTTGGCAAGCCTGCCTGAGTAGCAGCTGCAGCGCTAAGTGATGCTAAACGGCTTTAAGTGTGTAGCAATGCATTATGCCTCAATTCAAACCCACTGCAACCTGGGCGCCGGTGCAACATCCGGCACGAGGAGACTGGTGTTCCAGTAGAAGACATGCTCCTTGTCGAGGGCATCCAACAACTTCATGTCCTCAATGGCAGAGGGGTATCAAGAAGATTCAATAATAATGTGTTCCGATGTGATGCCCATACTAAGTCCTCCTCTTCGAGGACGAAGTCCAAAACTTCCAAATTCTCTCTCAATCGGCTCTCCTAGCAGTGAACAAGGGATGAACAACGACCTGGCTGATCTTTTGAGCATTCGGCCTTGTTCGACTTCGGTGTCACTGCGATGCCCTTTTGCACCGCCCAGCGCAACAACACCTGAAAACGAGCCACTGGCACAGCCTTCGGGACTAAACGTGGTTTGGACCCCCTGCTGAACGCCGCCTTGACATAGTACTTCTAGTACATACACGATGCACTCCGCTACATTTCGAAAACAAACCGAAGCTAATCCAAAAGAGCTCCCACATTCATGCAAGCTTTCATCACAAAACCGACTAGTCAATCTACCGTGCATCTTTAGAAAGGTACACAGAATATCTATCTCTGCACCCATCTAATATGCCAGGCTGAACAACCATCTCAATGCCTTTTTGAAAGACAAGCTCGCCTGCCCTGGAGACCGGCCGAGACGTGTCGAAATTTCACGCGCCACTGCATTGGAAGCAATGACTCCTCTGCAATCTGCGGTAGCAACCAACACTGGAAGCCGCCGGAACCACGGAGCAATACAAGTGACTTATCATGAAGATCCAAGTTGTTGCCAAACATTGCAGGGACCGCTCCTGTGCCATAGCCAGTCAAGCGAATCTGCGCCTTGCGCGCATAGTCCTGAAGGAGCTCAAGAACGGATCGGCATGTTAGGCGAGGTAACGGTGCAGTATACCAAGCACAAAACATGCCTGATGCTTTCAATGTTAACGTGCGTCATATTCAGGAATCACCAGTCTCTCTGCTGTGTCTCCTGGATGTGGCGAAATTGCGCCAGGGGGTGAAGCTCCTGCTGTTCGTTGTAGATCGGAGCCGTCCTGTATGCCTCCATCTCCTGCCCAGTGGACACGCCAGCATGGTTTTCCGAGATAACTTGAGTGGTAAACATGATGCAATAGCACTGGTCCGACTGGACAGAAAACGCAGTACACTACGCCATCAACAGCTTGAGGCTGGCTTGAGGCCTTCAGGAAGGCGATCGGATAGTTGCTGACCCCGATGTGCTTGCAAAGCCCACGACGTTTCGCTTCTTCCATGTTCTGCCACGACCTTGGCTCAAAGTGATGACTTGCCATTTCGGCATCCATTCACGAAATTACTCACTGCATCAACCCTTTCAGCCTGCGCCCCTGGCAATGTTAGCCAAGTGTGCTTAACTCCACACAGACATGCGACCGTTTGCGCTGCTCGTATGCCTCGCCCACGCGTTGCTGAGCTTCCTTTGCTGCACCAGGACTTCAAGCAAACAAGTTCAGACTGCATTCAAACAATTCCCGAAACAAAAGTGTCCGTGCGTTGGTCTCTTTTCAGAAAGCCAACGGGTGAAGCAAACACAGCAACCTGGCAAGAGTCTTGCGAGGCTAGGGCAGCCAGTGCCCCCTTCACCAGCACTTCAGACCACTTCGGGAACTCTGCCCAAAGTCCATACGCCTCGGAAAGTTGCGCTCGACACTGCATTATACATGAGCAAACTCAAGTATGCAAGGTACATGGGGTATGAAGGAGGCCGCAAGCTCCTGCAAGTGTGGCGAAAATCAAATGCTGATGGCTGATTCTCTTTCGCAAAGCTGAGAGCCTCCCTGCAGCACAGGACGAACATCACTCCCCTCTACGGTCCAGTGCAGATGTCACCGGGGTGTGGATGAGGCACAAGTCCAAGTAGGAAACGCCCAGCTGCTCCAGGCTCAGTCGGATGGCCTCCCAGGTCTCTGCACGACGCCCTCTGAGTCTGTCTCTTCCCTCCCCCTCGCTGGACTCGAAATGACACAAAGACCGCAAGGAAACTGCCCCACCTCGAGCTCTTTGCCCTTCCGGTTTAGTGGATGAAATCCTTTGCCATAGCTTGTGGCTCTCTTTGGCATGGCTCTCAAACTCGGCCGTGTCAGCCAGGGCACCCGGCACGAGTGCTGCAGGCACTGGCAAAGACTGGAAGCCGAAAGCCTTCTGGTGCTCCTGTGCCACAATCCCTACAACGACAAGTGGTGCAGGCCCTCGGCCTGCCCCCTCATGTCTAAAGACGGCAGTCTGTTGCAAGTCGTTTGCAATGAACAAACGGATGCATCATGCAACAAAAGGATCCTCAGGAAGGTCCAAGGATGTAGGAAAAAATCCCACTTTGGACGTCAGGAAGAGCTCATCACGGGCAACGCCGCTCTGCTCGATTGCATCTCGAACGAGGTCATGATTCCTCGCTCCAAAAGACAGCAATAACAACGCGATACATTTTCAACTAACAAGCAGCAATGTATCGACTCTGGGCACAGCACCCGTACAGCAAAGCAGTGTCAATAGTCCGGTACCCCAAGCGTATAGCTTTGACGATGGTGGACACCTGCACTATGGCATGCACTCACCAGCTGACACGGGCAGCATCTTTCCCTGTCAGCCCAAGCCTGATTCACACCGCCGGTGCCCAAGCCAACCAATGCCAGCTCGCCGCCAGCTTGAACCAACGTGGGCAATCCAACGGCATAAAGTGTGAGCATGAACATCGCTTGTAGTGATCTTGGGAATTCATGTCGAAAATCTTCGAAGTGTATCTGTCATAGCAATGGTGCGGCTGTCATACAATCGAAATGTGTCAAACCGTGTGTTTTACACTTGATTACTCTCAGTTGCTGCAGACGTCCATGCTGTCTTTGAACCGCATGTGCAACAAACGGAACTCAATTTCACACACGCCCTGCCCCCCCCTCCGCCAGGGTCAAGTCCTGGCATGGCAACCTTTCAAAAACCATTAGCATTCTGCGGCTTTGAGCTGTGGCACTCGTTGTTCAAGTGACCAGCGCCCAAGTGAAACACTTTGATCAGCATCGTGACTCTGCACTGCGCACTTGCTGATTCTCAGTAAACATGCAAACAAACGGTCTCATGTGTGTCACTCTCACGCCTCTGCCTCTAGCCGCTTCCTGATCAAGAGGGGATGCTTATCAAGTTTGTGTGTCTGCATGCGTCTGCCCCCTATGTGTGTCTAGGCCCACCATGCTTTCTTGATCAATCACGGATACCCAGATTGATGATTTCGATCCCGTCATTGCAGCACGATCTTTGCCGCCAACATGATACATAGCACAGTACCAGTACATAGCACACTACATCAGCAGCGACGCGAAGCGTGCCTGTCGTCGAGAAGCATCTTGTGCTTCCCTAGCAGCATGTGACATCGCAGCCCAACTTCTCGAAGACTGTCTGCCAATAGCCTTGGGCCGAATTGTCTGGCGCATGCGTTGCAACTGGAATATCTGGAATGACGAAATGGAGTTCGTGGAAACATGAAGCGATCACTGCGAACGACATTTGGCGTCACCAACCTTGCCAAGCAGCTGCGTCTCACGACGCATGGCTTCGCGCCGCTCAGCCGATGCCGCCTCCGTCTGCCTGACGCCGGCGAAACCGTGCATCATTCTGATGACAAGCACTTCTCCAGTGATCGCCGATACTTTCATCCTCCTGTAAGTTCCGAAGTTGCAGATAAGCAGCCAGAAAACCCTCTACTGTGCAATGTTGTATGTGCATTGTATGCTGCCTCATCTTGCCTTCCTGTGCTGCCAACTGCAGCCGCAATTTCTTCAAGACTGCCTGGCTTGAGCGGCAAAGCTGACATCGGCACAGCTGCAATTCAACTGCGGCCAATGTCGGAACCTCCACAAACACAGTGAAGAGGACTCACCCGCTGATCCCATGTGGGCCTTGCCACCTTTGGGATGTGAAGGTGGCTCTTGCACATCCTCCAGTATCTCCAGTGTTCAGTATGTGAGTGCAAGAACAGTTGGGTGGTCACTCATGTACATGCACGTGCCCTCAGCTCTCTCAACGCATTTATGAAAGCTGGCCTCCTCCTTCAGTGCAGTAGAACTCGCACGGCGATTGTACACGCTGTCAGGAGCCTGCCGGAGGCTCTGGCACAATTCAGCGACAGAGGGCTCAGAGCCTCGGGTCCTTACAGGTTGTCCATTTCTCATGGTGATTCGTTTGCCTGCGCTGCCTCCTGACCCTCGAGGATGCCGATCTTTGCAGCGGCCTCGGGTCCGTTGGCCTGCGCATGTGGTCCGGACACTTCGGCGAACCACATCGAAACATCAATCGCAACACGGATCAAACTTTGACCTGGAGAACGACAAGCCCATTCCCAAAAAAAAACTTATCCTAAGTGTCGGCTGCTCTTGACATCTAAACTGTCTTTGTCTGCCGTCTGCCGCACGTTGGTTCCTGACTGCAGGCGGGATGCTTGCGTGCCTCCATGCTGCGCCCAGGATGTGGCTGTTGATGTTGAGTCGCGCATGCGTTTGGATGTTGCTTGCTTGGCTGCATGCAGGTACCCGGCATCTAACCGACTTTGATCGAGAAGTCACGTGCCTTCCTGTCTACTCGGTTTGGTTGGGCCAGCGGCCGGCTCTGCCCTTCGGTTTGCTTCGTCGCCTTCGGTGCCACCCCTAGGCCCTAAGCCCTCCTTCCTGAGACATCGACATGCTTGTGACAGGCTTCGCGCGTCTGCTCTTCAAAGACAGGCGACCCGGATTGTGTCTGTCCGTGACCAGCATACACACAAACTTGAAGGGCGTGCCAAACACCAGCAATCGTAATTAACGGCTTGGACCTAAGCCTTCAGGAAGCCATCCTGAAGCTGCCCAGTTTTGTACCGGAAAAACATAAAATCTGGATGCATCCCTTTGGCGGTGGCGCGAGACAGAACGTTTGACCGGCTTGACTCCGTGTCCTCGAGCTTGTGCCCATGAACAGTTGAAGCGCTGGCTCATCTTGAACTAACGAGAAGTTGCCAAAGGGAGTCGCGCCTTCGCTTGAATTTCTCGTTACTTCCTTCCGTCGATTATTTCCCTTCTTCAGCTTTCGTGCTACGGGGTGAAGTTTCCGAAGCTATTGAGACTCGAAAGAGTTTAACCCTGCAGAGAGGCCTGGGGTGGTCGTATGTAAACTTCCGCGTGTTGCACTCAGCATGAGGGCGCTGGCGCTGCCATGCGAGCATGAAAGCTTGGAAGCACATCACGTGGCCAAAGAACCAAGAAGCAAAGATTTCCAAGCCACACCATGGCAGGCCGGTTCATTTATTCAGTCCACTTAGTGCGTGGCTGGGTTGTTACAAAATATCCGACGTGATATACGTGGCGGTTCAGCGCGGCTGCTTCCACTGGACTTCTTCATTCTTGTGAAGGCTTGAAAGAAATTACTTGCGAAAGGATGCCACCCTATCGTCGTCCTCAGCGGCTTCGTTTTGCATCTGGGCAGCACT